GCGTGCTGGCGGCTAGAGGCCTGAACGGGCGGCGCGCTGGCGGCTAGGGGCCTAAACGGGTGGGGCCGCGCTGGCGGCTAGGGGCCTGAACGGGCCGTGCGCGCTGGCGGCTAGGGCCTAAACGGGCAGGCGCGCTGGCGGCTAGGGGCCTGAACGGCTGCACGCGAGCCGGCTAGGAGCCCTGAGGGGCGGCGCCCGTGGGCGGTAAGGGCCGGGACAGGCGCGCGCTGGCGGGCGGCTAGGCGGGGCCTGAACGGGCTGGGCGAGCGGGCTGGTATGCGAGACGGGCGCCTGTGCGCGGGCGGCAAAGGGCGGCTCGCCGCGGGCATCTAGGGGGCCGCAGGGCAGGCCAAAAAGGAGAGAGCAAGGGCCCGGAGCGCGCTCCGGGGCAGAAAAAAAGTTTGAGGTTTGGTGGGACCCTAAGCACAGTTCCGCGGGGGAACCTGCTCGATACCATGTTGAGAATAGAACAAGAATGAATGAACTATGAATGAGGTGAGTACAAATAGGAAACCCAACTGGGTTGTACTGTGAGAATAGGGAAAACAGGAATGAATGAACTATGAATGAAAGGAGTACAAATATGAAATCCTAACTGGGTTGTACCCCCTATGGGATGCCCCACTACAGCCTACACAGCAGTATAAGCTATAGATATGTTCTGACACACCCCCATAGGCAAAGTGGGGGAGAAACAAGGGGTCACAGACCAGTCAAGCAAGACAAAGCAAAGCTCAGGGTGATCACAAAGTCACCACACAGTCCGAGCACAAGAGCAAGGCCAAAGGCCAGTTCACAAGCAAGAGTACAGACATATATAAAGCTAGACAAGCAAGAGCAGGTATATATATATGTCACAGTACAAGTGAAGTCAAGAGGAGAGCAAGTGAGGCAAGACAGACACAAGACCCAGCTGGGTGCAGAAGCGCTGATGGTCACAAGGCGCAAGTGCCTTGGTGAACACATCAGCAGTGTTGGCCTCAGAGGCCACGTAGCAAGTCGCAAATGACCACGCTGCTGCAGCTCACGAGCAAGGAAGTAGCGGAGAGCAATGCTTCGTTCTGTGCTCCAAGCGCTGCTCTCGACACAAGGCCAGCATAGCCTTGTTGTCTACGTACAGCACTGGAGGAGAACGAGGCGGCTCTCCAAGGTCAGTCAGCAGGTAGGTGAGCCAGCGAAGCTCCTGTGCAGCCATGGCCCCGGCGTAGATCTCAGCCTCACAACTGGAGCCGAGAACGAAGACGAGCGAGTAGACCGCCACGAGACAGAGCCGGAACCAAGGCTGAAGGTAAACCCTGTGACGACCGCTGCGTAGCCTGGTCGTCAGCCCAAGAAGCGTCCGCGTGGCCGGTAAGGACCACTGGACTCCGCCCTCCAAGCACTAGCCCATGCCTGACGTACTGCACAGGTAGCGCAATACCTCTTCGCTGCAGCCATGTGCTCCGGTCTGTGTCTCCCAGGAGCAAACATAGCGTGCAAGAATGCTCAGAGGGTATGCAAGGTCAGGTCGTGTGCAGGTCATCAGGTACATGAGGCAGCCAACAAGCTCCGCATACGGACCACTCGACTCTACGGACTCATCCGAAGGCAGAGCTGAGAGTGAGTGGCGAGTAGGCAGAGAGAGTGGCCTGAGGCGAGGAGTACGTGAAGCCGAAGCGCTGAAGGACCTGCTGCACCATGTGTGACTGAGTCAAGGTAATGGTGCGGCGTGCTCTGTCCCGAGTGATCTGCAAGCCAAGGTAGCTGCGCAGTTCACCCAGGTCTGTGCACGTGTGTCTCTTCAACAGCTCGGACTTCACGTAGGCGAGTCCAGCAGTGTCCGCTGTGGCAAAGACCAGGTCGTCGACGTACACGAGGATGTAGAACGGCGGCAGGGAAGTGTCGGTGCGAAGAAACAGCGACGGGTCAGCAGTAGAAGGAGCAAACCCAAGAGCCGCAAGCGTAGTCCTCAGTGTGTCGTCTGCCACTCACGCGGTGCCTGGCGGAGACCGTAGACTGGCCGTCGGAGGCTCCACTGGGTGCCAGGAGGGAAAGTCCCAGTGAAGCCAGGTGGACGGCGAAGCCAGATCTCCTCGTGCAGGCTACCCTGCAAGAACGCAGTGCTGAAGTCGAGAGAGTGAAGCTCGTAGTCGCGCTGAGCGGCTATGTGCAGCAGCACCCGAAGAGTAGTCATCTTCGGGGTGGGAGAGAAGGTCTGAAAGTAGTCAACTCCCTGCCGCTGACTGAAAGCCACGAGCAACGTACCGTGCCTTGAAGACAGGTGGAGAGCCCGGCGGCCGCTTCACCCTGAAGATCCACATGCCACTGACGATGTTCGCCCCAGGAGGGGGAACCGCGTCAACGTAGGTGCCTGTGGACTTCCAGGAAGCCATCTCTGCATCCATAGCTGCCTGCCACTGAGAGGAGTAGGGACCCTCTACGGCCTCCGCGTAAGAACGCGGAGTCGGGATGTCTAGTGCATCCGGGGTCTCCTCAGGGGCAAGCAGTACAGACGCGAGATGAGGTGAAGCAAGCAGCGCTAGACACAGTAACTCCTCCTGCCTGTCCTCTAGGACGTCCGTGCCAAGAGCACACTCACCCCCGACGGACGGAGGACAGACAGACGCAGACTCAGCAACAAGACTAGCAGCGTAGTCGAGACGACAGCGAGCAGCAAAGTCGACGAGCTCAGCGACTAGAGCAGACGCAGCAGTGGACTCAAAAGAGGGGTCAGTGACGACAGTAGCAAGCAGACGCGTGACAGTGGGACTGGCAGCACGAAGAGAGTCCGACTCAGGGTCGGCAAGCGCAGGAAGAGAGGACTCAGGAGGAGAAGGCAAAGGGGCACGCAGAGGAGCAGTGGACGGACGTAAAGACATCGGTGCGTGCCAGGGACAGGAGGAGGACGCTGACGCGAACTGCGACCACTAGCGCGAGCAGCACGGACAGGCGACGCGGGACGAGACGCAGGCTCACGACGCTCAGCAAGACCTCCAGTAGGACCAGTGTAAGGAGAGGGAGCAGGTAGTGGAGAGGAAGGCTCCAGTAGGGGCTGCGACTGGACCGGCGGTGGACCCTCTACTGGAGGAGAAAGACCAAGAACCTGCTGAAGGAGCGGAACGAAGTACGGCCGAGGCGCGCGCGGCAGCTCCAGACTCAGCAGGGACAGTACCAGCACCCTCAGCGACAGCACCAGCGCCACCCACACCTCCAGCGGCAGGACCAACAGCAGCAGGCTCAGCACGAACGCCCTCAGCAGCTCCAGCTCCAGGAGGACCCACAGGGCCAGCAGCTCCGGGACCGGCTGCACCCGCACCCTCGACGGTCGAAGAAGCTCCAGCTCCAGCTCCAGCAGCACCTCCAGACTCAGCAGCACGCCTCCAGCGGCGAGCGAACCACTCGCGCAGCTCCTGTGGAGAGCGGGGCTCCCGGCGAGACGCAGCAGCAGGAAGAAACCCCAGGCTCAGCAGCTCCAGACGCAGCACCCCCAGGCTCAGCAGCTCCCAGCTCAACACCCCAGGCTCAGCAGCTCCCGACCCAGCACCTCCAGACCAGCACCTCCAGGCACAGCACCCCCCGGCTCAGCACCCCCAGGCTCCGCACCCTCCGCAGTAGCACCCTCAGGCCCAGTACCCCCAGTAGTAGCACCCCCAGGCTCAGCACCCCCGTGCACAGCACCCCCAGAGTCAGCACCCCAGGCTCAGCACCCGCAGCAGCACCAGAGTCACCAGTAACTCGACCGGGTCAACGGCGTCTACCTGGGACACACCTGAGGGGGCAGGAACCTGAGGGGGGAGGGGGTCTACGGGGGGGGGAACCGGCACAAGGAAGTCCGGGGGAGGGGGGAGGGAAGGAGTGCGGTAGGGGAAGAGACGGTAGAAGGGGACTGACTCGTCGAACGTGACGTCCTGGGAGGACAGAACACGACGAGAGGAGGGGTGGTTAAACTGCCACCCTGGGGCGTCAGTGGGGAAGCCAAGGAAGACACAGGGAGCAGCACGAGGGGACAGTTTGTCCGCAGACAAGTCGCGGACAAACGCCCGAGATCCCCAGACACGGAACACAGACGCATCGCCAACCTTCCCGTCCACAGCAAGGCTGGGGACATCGCTGGCCGAGAGACCCGGGGATGAAGGTTGAGCTGATGCGCCGCGTACCTCACCGCAAACGGCCACAGAAAATGGGGGGCAGCCGCGCATCATGGACGTACGAGCGACATCCATGACCATGCCAATGCGGCGCTCAGCAATCCCATTTTGCTGTGGTGAGTCGGAAGCGTGAAGGTCTGGCGGATCCCCCGTGCACGACAGTAGTCTCGCAGAAGGCGAGAAGAGAACTCTCCGCCTCTGTCAGAGTGCAGACGCAGAACAGGAAAGTCCGAGCCGAAGCTCTTCCTGAGCTGGAGACGAGCCTCGCGGATCCAGTCGATCAGCACCTCAGTGACCGCACCCTTGCTGCGCAAGGGGAGGACTGTGGTGTAACGCGAGTAGTCGTCAACCACCAACAGGAAGTAGCGCTCGTAACCCTGCCCACGGACGGGGGCTGGGCCCCACACATCCATGTGAAGCGTCTGCAGGGGAGCCTCTGTCGGGGGGAAGTGGGAGGAGTGAGGAGTAGCCCGGAGGCGACCCTCGACACAGGGGACACAGGAAGGTCTTGGCCCGGAGGGGAGAGGAGGGAGAGACTGGGGAAGACCAGAGACAAGGACACGGGAAGCCATGCTCCGAAGACGGGGCAAGGAGGGGTGGCCAAGACGGTGGTGCCACAGGAGAGTCTCGTGAGACAGGAGGCGACAAGAACAGGGGGCAGACTCAGGACCTGACCGGGACGCAGCAGCAAGTACCTGACCCGACGCAGCCACCTGACCAGACGCAGGCAGGGACAGGAGGAGACTCAACGGTCAGGGTGTAGAGACTCGACCCCGGCCGACGTGAGAACGTGGCCAGGTGTCGGCCTGTGCGAGCCTCGGTGCAGTGGGTCACCCGCTGACGGGCAGGAGTGAACTGGTGAACACCCCCATCCTGCAGGTCCGCTCCACTCACCAAGTTCGTAGAGAACGAGGGAAGGTACAGACCCGACAGGGTGCCCGAAGGGGCAGCGGACAGGGGAGGACAGTGGAGAAGTGAGACAGGACAGGACCCCCAGAGGGGTCAGCAAGGGAGACCGCAACCGGCCTGGCGAGCGGCGAAAGGGTAGTGCGGTCTCGAAAGAAGGAGCGAGAAGCTCGGAGTCAAGTGTGAAAGTGAGGGAGGACGAGGACGACTCAGTACCTGAGAGCGCAGTCTCACCAGTACCTGAGAGCGCAGACGCACTGGCACCTAGAGCAGCAGCCTCACAAGCACCTAGCGCAGCAGTACCAATGCCCCGGGTCGGGCTGAAAACACCGGTAACCCTCATGCTCCTCACTATAATCACAACATACATAGCAGTAAGGATAGCATCAAAATCAAGATCAAAGATCGCTACACCAGCCCTGAGAAGCTCATCCCAGCGAGGGATCTCACTAGCCCCAGGGAACTGCTGACGCCAAGCGTCCGTCAGGCGGCCAAAGCAGCGCTGGGTGGCGTGGGCACCCCCACACTGCTCACCGCGCGGTCGCCGGAACGAAGAACGTAGGTGCAGGGACCAGTACCCCCACCCCTCTGACGCCCAGCGTACCACTCACGAAGCTGCTGAGGCGAAGGGATGTCCCGCGAGCGCTGCTGCTGCTGCGGTGCGAGCGCTGGCCACCACCACCGCCGCTACGCTGCTGGGTACCACCCCGACCCGCTCCACCTCCTCCACCACTACTGCCTCCTCCGCTGCCGCCTCCACTGCCTCCACCTCCGCCGCCTCCCCTCCGCCGCTGCCTCCACCACCACCGCTGGCACCACTACCACCGTCTCCGCCGCTGCTGCCGCCACCACCACCACCACCCCCGCCACTAGTCCCGCCGCCACCCCCACTCCCTCCGCAGCCACCGCCGCCACCGCCACCGCCCCTCCAGCTCCACCCGCGCCCTTGCCTCCCTTGCCCTTGCTGGAGCGACGTCTCCCACTAGGGGCAGACGCCGCGCGACCGACTCAAGACAAGCAGGTCGGCAGCAGCAGCAGAGGCAACAGAGGGCAGCAAGGGGGAAGGAGCGCACCCCTCAAGATGGGGGTGCGAGGGTCACCACGAGAAGCACCTACAGCGGACTATGCTCTTCTTCCGCTGCAAGGAGGGCCTTCTCGAGGAGGTCGACGGTGAGAGTGGTGGGACAGACTGCGAGAAAGTGGTCCCTGACGACGCGAAGGGAGTCAGGGAGGCGTGCGACTACGTAGTAGAGAGCGATGTACATGGGGGGGTGGGTTCTTAGCGCAGAACTCAGCAGGTAAGGGCGGCGCGGGTAGCGAGTGTCACTAGTGCGGAGGTGCGTAATGAGGTCAGCGACAGTGGGAAAGGCAGAGAGGTCAGGAAAGAGGTAGGGAAGCATGAGACGGCTCAGTGCGGCAGTGGCAGGGGAGGAGTAGCGCGCAACTACAGCGTCGTACAAGGTCTGAGCACTCTTGTACTGACTAAAGTGCGCACGCTCAGAGGTAGGGAGGTGGCGACAGCACAGCAAGACGTGCAGCAGCATCGCGGGTGGCCCACTTAGAGCGGACAGCGGAATCAGCATCAGCAGCAGGGGCAGGAGAGGCGCCAGAGGTGAGGTCAAAGAGAGAAAGGTCGTCAGCCCTGTCGCACTGTAAGAACAGCTGCAGGTCGTCTAACCAGACCTCAAAATCAATGGCGCGACCCTCAGCGTCAAAAGCTAGGACACTAGGGGTAGCCATGGTGACGACAGCGACGCAGTGCAAGCAGTAGGGAAAGAGCTCGCAGTGTCAGTGGGACAGTGCTCACCAGGCAGGGCAGGTCGTGCAGTCAGCAGAAAGGCGGCTCAGCGACCGGGCGGCATCGGGGTGCACAGCTGCTCGGCTCCCGGGCGGCTTCCGGCGGCTGGGCGGCTCGGGCGCAGGGCGGCTCGGCTCCCGGCGGCTCGGCGGCTGGGCAGCCTCGGGTGCAGGGCGGCTCGGCTCCCGGGCGGCTCGGCGGCTGGGCGGCTCGGGTGCAGGGCGGCTCGGGTCCCGGGCGGCTCGGCTGCTGGGGCGGCTCGACCGGGAGATGCAGTGTGGGCCGGCAGGGTGCAGCGCAGGGCCGGCAGGTGCAGCGTAGGGCCGGCAGGTGCAAGTGGCGGGCCGTAAGAGGCGGCGGGCCGATGGGTGCAGCGGCGGGCCGGTAGGTGCAGCGGCGGGCCGGCAGGAGCAGCGGCGGGCCGGCAGGGCGCAGCGGCGGGCCGGCAGGAGCGGCGACGGGCCGGCAGGGTGCAGCGGCGGCCGCGTAGAGTGCAGCGGCGGGGGGGCGTCGGCAGCAGAGGCGGGGCCGCGTCAGGGGAGGCGGCGGCGGGGCCGCGTCAATGGAGGCGGCGGGGCCGCGTCAGGGGAGGCGGCGGAGTCGCGTCAGGGGAGGCGGCGGGGCCTCGTCAGGGGAGGCGCGGGGCCGCGTCAGGGGAGGCGGCGGGGCGCCGTCAAGGGAGGCGGCGGGGCCGCGTCAAGGGAGGCGCAGGGCCGCGTCAGGGGAGGAGGCGGGGCCCGCGTCAGGGGAGGCGGCGAGGCCGCGTCAAGGGAACGGCAGCGGGGCCGCGTCAAGGGAGGCGGCGGGGATGGCGGTCCGCGTTAAAAGAGGCGGCCGGGGGGCCGGCTCAAGGGAGGAGGCTGGGCGCGTCAGGGGAGGCGGCAAAGCCGCGTCAGAGGAGGCGGCGGTGGTCCGCGAGTGAAAAGGCGACCCGAGGGTCGCTAAAAAAAGGTGCGCGCCCTCGGGGCGCGCGTCGGTGGGCCCAGGACAACGGTCCTAAGGTAGGACTCGCTCTATACCATGTGAGAATAGGAAAACAGGAATGAATGAACTATGAATGAAAGGAGTACAAATATGAAATCCTAACTGGGTTGTACCCCCTATGGGATGCCCCACTACAGCCTACACAGCAGTATAAGCTATAGATATGTTCTGACATGTACCCCCTATGGGATAACCCACTACAGCCTACACAATAGTATAAGCTATATATAAGTTCTGACAACGACTTCATTGCTTGGCAGGTCGGGCAAGTTGACACGTAGCGCTGTACATCGGTCTGCATGTCCGGCCAGTAATAATTCCGCTGCAGCAGCTTCAGTGTTTTATCGGTGCCGAAATGCCCGGAAAGGTTGGAGTTATGAACCTCCTGCGTCAGCAGCTCTCGTGAAGGCTGGTATGTTGGTACCCAAATCCGGTTCGTACCGGCTTTTAGGTAGTATTTGCCGTGCGGTGTAGCAGCCTGTTGTTGCGGGTTCCGAAAAAAACCTGTCGATCTTGTAGCCGTGGGTGAATAGTCCCGTCAGCATCGGGTTAGTGTGGGCGATTAGTACCGCCGCGTTTTGCATGGTTGGTCGGGTAAGGGCGCCGGCGATGTTGTTGGCGCCCTTTTTGTACGTGATGGTGTACCGGAAATTGGACTCGAGGAAGTCCAACCACCGAATTTGTCGCGGGTTGAGTGTCGGTTGTGTGCGCATGTACTGTAGTGACTTGTGGTCGGTCCGAATTGTCACATCGGCTCCCGTGAGGTAGCAGCGCCAGACACGAAATGCATGAACGATGGCCAGCATCTCTTTGTCGTGGACTGGGTAGTTACGCTCGGGTGGCTGCATCTTGCGTGACTCGTAGGCGATGGGTTGCAGCCCTTGGCCGAAATCCTGTAGTAGGACGGCACCGACGGCGAAATCGCTGGCGTCCGTGACGACTTCGAACGGTCGAGATGGGTCGGCGAGGCGGAGTACCGGGGTGAACCCAAAATGTTTTTGAGAGCGTCGAAGGCGGATTGCTCCCTCTCCCCCCCACCGAAAATTACTGTCGTGATGCAGCAGGTCGGTCAACGACTTGGTTATCCCTGCCATGTTAGGTACAAAACGACGGACGTAGTTAACAAACCCAAAAAACTTAGCAACTCAGGGATATTAGTAGGCGGTTTCCACTTAACGATGGCGTCCCTTTACGCGGGTCGATTTTAATCCCATCGCCAGAGACCACATGCCCCAAAAATTCCAATTCCGGCTTCAGAAACTCGCACTTAGACCCCTTTGTAATTAGCCGATGCCCTTGTAAACGCCGGAACACCTCCTCTAAATCCTGCAGATGGTCTTCTTTTGTCGCGCTGTACACCAAGATATCGTCCAGGTACACGATGACCTTCTTGTCCAGCATGTCTCGAAAAAATCCATTCATGGTGAGCTGGAACGTCGAGGGCGCGTCAGGCCGAACGGCATCACTGTGAACTCGTAACTGCCGTAGTGTGTGCGAAGAGCGGTCTTCGGGTAGTCGTCGGCGAACACGCAAATTTGGTGGTAGCCTCCTCGCAGGTCGATTTTCGAAAAAATACCGAGCTCCGCGAAGTTGATCTAGCAGATCGTCGGTCGTGGGATTGGGTAACGCGACTTTATCGTGACCCGATTCAACGCCCGATAATCAATGCACATGCGTAGGCCACCGTCCTTCTTCGGCGTGAACAGTATCGGTGCTGCATACAGCGACGTGCTGGGTCGGATAAATCCCTTGGCGAGCAGGTAATCCAGCTGGGCTCGCAATTCGGCGAGCTCTGGTTGGCTGAGCGCCACTGTGACCGAACAGTGGGTTGCGCGCCGAGCTCAAGCTGGATCCGATGGTCTTCAGGTCGTTGGGGGGGCAAGCCATCCGGGAGGTCATCCGCGAAAATTTCAGGATACCTCCGAATGATGCTCGCCAATTCCTCGGGGACTGCCGCGCAGAGGGTGTCGATGTCCGCGATTTTTTTGGAAGCTGCCACCTCGTACAGATGCACCAAGAAGGCCTGAGCTCCGCCGTTCATCGCACGCTACATGTGACTGCGTTGACACGTGTCGTCACTGGCTCCGGCTCCGTCCATTTCGAAAGCGTCATCTTCCCTCCGTATCCTCGCACGACGCACGTCCCAGTCGTCCAGTCGATCGTCGGATTGAAACGCTGCAGCCAATCCCTCCCCAGCAGCACGTCGGAGCCGCTCGAACGTCGTCGCCAACATTTTCATGCCAAACCCGAAATTGTCGCTGCACTGTATCCGAATTTTTTGCGCCTCATCTCGGATGGCCAGCGGTGTTCCGTCCACCAACCTTGCATCGATCTCCGGCAGACACCTGGTCAACTTCACCCCAATTTTTTTGGCCATTGCCAGGTTGACGAGACTGTGGTTCGCCCCACCGTTAACCCTCCCTACCACCAGCACAGGGTAGTCCACGTGTTCACCCACGTTATTCGTCCGGTTCTGGTCGATAGCTCTGATCGGTACCACGACCCGGTGTGGATGGTGATTGTCGGGCGACAGGGTCTCGTCAGTAGGTGGCCCGTCTGCTACTGACTCGTATCTTTTCCCGACCCTTCTCCGTCGTTCTTCTTCCCCTACTTAAGCCTCGGGCAGTCTTTTTCAGGTGGCCCAGCTGGTTGCATAAAAAGCACGGCCCAAGGGCTCGGCTCGGTGCATCCACACCGTTGATCGTGGCTTGCTGAGTCGGTCCACGAAATCGAGGGCCCTCTTGGGAGCTCGATTTGGCCCACTGCATCAGCGCATCCGTTGACTCGGCTTCCAGGACGGCGTCGTTGAAGCTTCGTGGCCGGGTTCGTCGGACCTCGTATTGTATCTAGTATTTCAGGCCCGCCACGTAGCGATCCAATCGCTCTGCGTCGCTCATGTCGTCCACCTGGTCCGCCAAGTTGCAGAATTTGCTGGTGTAGTCTTGGACTGAAGTCAGCTGCTTCCAGGTACGTAGCTGCATGCGAGCAGAGTCCGAGGCGGATATGTGCTCGAATTTGGTTCGCAAGGCGGCGCCCCACTCCTTCCATGTGCGTATCGTGGCCGTCCCAACAATCGATGTTGCCTGATGCGTGACAGGTGTTGAAGTCCCGTCGTTCGCACGTGCTGTTCCTGCCGAAGTCCCTTCGTGTTGCAGCGTTCGCCTCCACCACTCCAGCGCAGGTCCTCGCAACAGTGAAACTGCGAAATTAATGCGGGTGGCGTCGTCATAAATCATAGCAGCATTAAAGAACACCTCCACACCGAACAACCATGCAGAAACAGTGACAAACTCACTCGGGTTTAAACGGGGGCGGGTTTGTCGGCTTGATTTTCACGAAAGCCGTTGCTGCCATCGGGGCCGTTGGCATTGCTGCTAGCGTCACCGTCGTCGTCGCTGCTGCACGTGGCGCTACTGCACGCGACTGTTGTGGCGACAGTTCCTGCTGCGCCTGCCTCGCCTCGTCCGCATCCATCTCGCCTTCCAGCTCGCTCCAGTCTGAAAAAACTGAAACGAGAATGAATGAACTATGAACGAACTGAGTACAAGTACTAACCCTAATTGGGTTGTACCCCTTATGGGCTACCCCACTATAGCCTACACAATAAGCACAAGCTATATGTTCTGACACACCCCATAGGCAAAGTGGGGGAGAACAAGGGGTCACAAGACTAGTCAAGCAAAGCAAAGCAAAGCAAGCTCAGGGTGGATCACAAAGTCACCACACATTCTAAGCACAAGTTCAAGGCCACAAGGCCAGTTCACATGCAGGAGTACATATATATAAACGACTAGACAAACAAGAGCAGGTGTATATATATGCAACAGTACAAGCAAGGTCAAGAGGTGAGCAAGTGAGGCAAGACAGGCACAAGACCCAACTGTGTACAGAAGCGCTGATGATCACAAGGCACAAGTGCCTTGGTGAAGACATCAGCAGTGTTGGCCTCAGAGGCCAC